CAATTCTAACTTTGTTTTCTTTAGATTAAATATATGTTCTTCCGTTTTCTCTCTCTTTAAAATGTGTTCTTTTCGAGATGGTATAATTCTTGCTTTATGTTTGCTATATGATCATATTTTTCCTCAAGTTTTGATGCTGACTGCACTATCCCGGGCCTACTTCTTTTGGTCCACTTTTGTTTAAGATGGATTTTTAAGTTTACTGGCAGAAAAATTACCCCAATCGTCCTCAAAATAAATAAAAACGTTGTAGCACAAATTCAAAGTTTTGTGTCAAATTTCTCGTGAAACTCAATTAAGACCTATTTGATACTATTAAAGTAGAATATATTTTACCTTTTCTGTGACACTAAAAGAACATGATGGCTTTTCATCTGCTATGCCGTAACAACCTTTTTTAGGATTCCCACATGCTGCAGAAGTTGCACCTTCTGTAGTTTCAACCTGATCTGGCATTGTCACTTTGGCATCTATATTAGACGGTATTTCATTGGTATCTCCACCAAATGAGGTATTTAGTCCAAATACTGTTTTTTCGTTTATTAGTCCTAATACTAAATCTTTGGTACAATCTCCTTCAGTTTTTTCTGCGACCCCCCTCCAGTTTGTTTTATTTGAAGTTTTTCTTTCACTACATCCTTTCGAACCGATTTTTTTATATTATCATATTTCCTTAAAGAATCTTTGGAGCGTGGACAATCAGCGGTTTGCGAATTAAATATATTTGTAATATTCTGCAAGGCTTCATCCTTCTCACGCCAAGTGGTAGATCCGTCTTCTTATTTTCTATGATCTTAAAATCGTATAGAATGTTTAATAATAAACTCTTTTCTTTAACTGAATAGTTTGGCGCACGCTTGGTTTCAGTTTTTAATTTTGTTTTATTTTCCATTTTAACTGTTAAGTACAAAATGCAAAATTACAACACAAATTTTAATCAAATAGATGACAATTCTGACACTAACATTGATTAGTAATATACAAATTATCTAAAATTTTACACTGCTGCCAAGATGTTCTTCACCTTAGCATAGATTTTGTTAAGTGAAACCTATGCAAAACAAACCAAACTTAAGGTTCACCTTAAGTCAAGGTACACCTTAGCTAAACAGTAGTCGTAAGTTGAAGTGGTGCAAACGGCCCTAGATGTTCTTGTAGCAACTAATAGGTGAATATTTTCAACAAATGAATAAGTCATACACATGATAAATATTATATTCATGACGAAAGCACGAAAACTAAACTTAAACTAACACTAAATGAAACTTAAAAACACTATTACAATAAGAATATTATCTAAAAACAGTTAAAAAAATCACAAATAAAAAAACCCGCCTAAAACCAACACATGTAAATAAACAAACATCCTACTTATAGGTGACAAATGACAAGCACGCGAAAATTAATTTGAATCGCGAATACCGGGTAGTGGTCCAACAAGATAATGGCGTTGGACCATATCTTAACTGTTAATAGAAAAGCTTAGGAGAAAAATGTCAATGACTAAGTGGCCATGAGAAAAATCTAGAGATTATTTTGAGAATCGTAGGACGATCGATAGATGACGTAACTGAATATCAAATAGAAAAATGATTATTTTATAAAAAAAATACCAAGCTGTTTTTAAAAATAATTTCAAAAAATTCCGCATCTTTTATCTTGGTATATAAGAGGTGGGTGGGAGTGAAAACTGTGAAACAGATTTGCACCTTCAATGTAATATTTTTATTTATAAATGGCTTGCAACACTGAAGACACTACATATTCTACTGAAAATAAGGTGGATCATTTAAAGTACCTAACAGCTCCTTTTCATTATTTTCGCACATTGAAGACAAACGTCTAACACATCCACAGAGCGATAGCGTAGGCTTTCATTTTTTTTTGTCTATAAACGAAAATATTTGTAGGTATTTTTAGTCTGTATATGAATAATCTTCTTTTTTAAGAATATACAATATAGCGAGCAATATGTTACAATGTATTTTGCAAATCCCGATAGTGTGAGGTTTGATAAATAATTATGAACACGTTTTTAATTCATCTTTACAAAACCCTCATGCGGTTGCAACACTCACTCAAATATCGCTCTGCACATTGTTTTCGATGTTGTATAATTAGGGCTAGAATGTTATTTCAGATAATTTCCTCATATGAATATCTGTTAGGCTGCTACAACCTTAGACTAGGTAATAAAGAGAGGACTCATAACGCCGCTAAAAATATTGTTCCATTCTGACACCAACGATATTCGACCTTTTTAGGTATAAAGCAGCTTCAAAGCCTAAAATTTAAAATAAATAAGTAACAATAAATAAGACACAAGAAAAAAATATATTGAAATAAACTGAATTAAATCGTTTACATAATAAAACGAGTGTTTTTTTTAAATTCCGCAAAATAGAACATAATGATCTACATGTATTACAAAAAGATTTATTTCTAGTTAATAAAGAATGACACTACCCAGATTGCACAGACACGTTTTAATTACATCTTAAAGACGTTTGTTCACGACGTTTGTTCGTGACGTTTTAAAGATGTACGCAAATATCCAAAATATGTTTTAAATGCGTCTGTAGGACGTAAATGTTACAAAAAAGGGGTATTTAGGACATTCAATTTTGTACGTCTTTAAGACAAACCGCATTGGACAGGTTTAAGCCGTCTATTTACTTGTTGGAAATTCGTTCAAAAATTATAAATTAATATTTGTCTACTATATTTAATACCGTTTATTATACATTATTAAACTATTAAAACTGACACATAGAGTAAATATTATTTTTCAGTGTTGGATAAAATAATTAGAAAATGACTTCAGGTACTTGTTGCTATAAGAAACTATATTCCCGGAAATCCTACTTTTTTCCAGTTTGGTCGAATTAAAAACTTTATGGTATTAATTTAAGCCAAAGCGTCTGTTACTAATGTCCCCGTAGCATATACTTTTGTTGAATTATTGTTTTAAGGTGTTTTTTTTCTAAAAAATAAGACATTATTAAAGTGTGGTTATGAAATTAAAAGGCAAATAAATTAAAACTTACCGTTTTTAATAATAAAGTTTACTTGTTCTGGTATACCACAGTTCCAATAATGGCAAATAAATAATATAAAAAGACAATATATAAAAAAACAACCACGAAAAAGTAATGACAATGTCCACAGACTGACGTTAAAAATATTATACAATGGCTGTTCCGAAAAAAAGAAAGCTAGAGGAAGAACACGACATGATACGCGCGCGCGAAGCTATGCAATCAGCCAATGACAATGATGAATGACGATTATACATGCGCTGCAGGAAGCGCCAAGAACGGTGTCGAGACGCCATATTCAAATATAGCGAAAAGAGTTAAACGTCTACATTACCGACATATTTAAAACGTCCTAAAACCATCCCAACAAAGACGTCTTAAAATCGTCCGTTTTAAGTACCAGGACGTTTGGACGAAAGTAAGACATAAACTGGACGTCTTTAAGATGTAGTGTGCTATCTGGGTATTCTTAAATTAAGCTAGTAAGGAAAATTATACATAAATGAAAATAAATTTATTACTGACCTTTAAATAATTCTAATTTGGTATAATAACAAGAAGTTTTAGCGAAACAACTATTTTTTTGATTTGTCTTGTTTTTTTCTTTATTCTTTTCTACCGGTTGTAAAAGTTGTCTTCCAAGTCGTTTTATGATAGGGCTTTCTAGGATAGATTCCTTATTTGCAGTTCTATTTGAAGGGTCTGGCTCAGCTTCCAAATGCAATGATCTTCATGTTAAGTCCTACAAACAATCAATTATTACGGTAATGTTTTGAATTATACATAAAAGGGTTTATTAGTATACGCACCTTCTTCGGCTGCATATATTTAGGGAATTCAGGAAATATAGTGGGAACTGCTCCATTTAGTAAACGTCCCAGAAGAAAAAATGTCTTTCAAAATGTTTTGAACACAATACATCATTTGGCGTAGGCATCCAATTTGCAATTTTCTTGCCTGAATCCAAAGATTTTTTGCTGCATCCACAGAAAATCTAAAATAAAACAACAAATAAACATTGCTGCATTTAAATAAAAAGCAAAAGTAAATTAGAATTTAATATAAAAGTTAATATTTAGAATTGTACGACACGCCACTGGAAAAACTTACTTGTTTGGCCATTTTAATGATAATTAATTGCTTAAATATCAATGAAAAGCATAAAATTTAATACTCTGGAGTGAGACGTGTACAATATGTAAATACCAAGTTGTATAACATCAAATAAAATGAAAAATATAAGAAACTATATAAAGTAAAAACGATTGATGTTTATCATTTACCTGTAAAACGTAATATCTGCTTCTTTCTTGCCGCTATAACTTTTACACTGATATGTGCCACACAATAAACCATTGTAATAAACTAATTAATAAATGTAGTTTAGTTCAAAAATCAGAAATAAACACGAACAAAAACTTTGGTATCACCGAAATGCTAAGCACCAAAATAATGGTGGCCAATAGATAATCGGCAAAGAATACTACATGTGCTCGATATACTTTTTTCGCGTCCTCTCTTTATTATCTAGTCTAAGGCTACAACTACGTTGAGCACAAGCGATTATTGTTTAACTTTTAATATAAACAATATATTTAGTTTGCAAACGACATAAAAATAAAAAAAAACGTTGATTGAAACCACGATTAGCTGTTTGACGGATTCGTAAACATAATATGGCGGAAGAGAACCCGTCTTAGACTACGTGATAGCGTCTTCCTACTTTCTACCTCCATGACTTAATTACTATATACATATTAAAGTGATCCACAAAAAATTAAACACTTAAAAATAAGAATTATACGCATGATATACGTGAATTTTCCAAGGCTTACTTTAGAAATATTTTTTGTGGATCACTCCTTACTTCGATGTTCGTATATATTTGTGTATTTGCTATTATTTGTGGGCCTCCCTATAGAAATGGTAAATTTTGTGTTAATTTATGTACATATTTTTTAGTTCCAAAAAAGGATGATTCTTTTACGAAGAAAAAGAAAAAGGGAAAAGAAAAGGAAAGAAAATCGAAAAGAGGCTCTAAAGATGCCTTGGCAGATTTCACAAGTAAGTATCAACGTTGTTTCTATGAGGACAGGATGAATAGTAAGCAGATTAGGCAAAAAAACAACTTTTTTCAGTGTAGTGTGTAATTTTTACTAATAATTTTATCTTTACTCAAGTAAATAGAATTTCTCGATTTACGGGGAAACATTTTTGAAATGGAAACTTCTTTTGGCGCGACTTCTATAAAGGCAATAACCACAAGGTTTGTGACGTTATATTCACCGTATAACGTTGTCTGTAAAACGGTTGATTTCCGCTGTCACACTGTTTATTTTCTTCAACATTTATTCAACAATAATTGAACTTATACTGTACAAAATGGGATACTCCAACTTGCAAATTTACAGGGTCTAATTCCCAGTAGCGAATTGACATAACGCCGCTCAAAGCCTGTTTATTTTCTATCGCCCCACACACTATTATTTTATTTTTATTTTTCGGGAAAATAATGTTTTCCTGTAGTATGTTTTTATCTGTGTGAGTTTTTAATGATACCGATAAGTCCCTATCAATATTTTGATACAAGCCATCCGTAGCAAATTTATTTATTAGGGCATCATCAATGACCCAGTTAACAGGATCATTTAAATATCCACGTTCACTGTCCTAAAATAACACAAAAAACTTTTCTCAAATTAAAATTTACTTACATAAACAAAACATATATTTCCTCAATGATAGGACCAGCCCACAGTGTATGCTCTTCTTAACATACATATTTCTTCATCGAACGTAAACATTTACGTACAAGCACAAAGTTTACTTTGATGTTAAAAAAGTAATAGTAATAAAATAAAATAAAGTTGAGCTCAGCTTATAGGGGTCGTAAAAAAATCGAAATACCATGATTTTTTCAGAGTTATTTAGAGACTGTCTCCTGAGTATCCAACCAAAAGATCACACTCGAACTTCTGGTACGAAACATTTTTTAAAATAGTGTAACGTTTATTTAATTTATTTATACCATAATAATTAATTTATATAATACTTAGACACTCACAATTCTAATTTATTTATTACAATTTATCTTTTCAGTCCAACATTTAAATTCTATCTGCCGTCCGTCGACAACTCGCGCTATTTTTATAAAGCACACTCTGTAATGGAACTCTCTAGGCTTTCCAGAACGATCGAAAACTGCCTTTCTATGACTCATATGTCGCAAAGGGATCAATCTGGTAGTTTCTCGAAGCGGCGTGTTTGTCTCTATATTGCCAGCGCCGCTAGACTTCATACTGCGGGCAAGGAGTAAACAAAGTACAGGGTTGGCTTTTGCGCGACATTACCCCCTCCTTAAAAAGTAGTTCCTCCTGGAACTAAAACTGAATGGTTAAATCTGCAATTGGATCCTCTTTTACAATTTCAGACTAGTATTCGGAACTCAGAAAATTACTTCCAGCATGTTTCTAATGATCCTCCAATTTAGCTGGATGCTCTCTATCCTTGGCATGGCTAGTTTCTGTACCTTTGACTTCAGTACGTGCTACCTCAGACTAACTAATTCTTCTCATACATTATGATAAGTGGATCGATCTCTGAAGATGTTCTTCGTTATCAAATAGAAAAGATAACGCGATCCATCTTGAAGTTTCAATGCTTTTCCAGGGACTGGTAACTGATCTTGAAGTTCTGGCAATCGATCAAACTTCTTCCGGAACACAGATGCCAGACCTCGAGTGTCGTTGATGTTGGCGGAAGTGCTATGGAACAGCGAACAGTCTTTAGGAATCGTGAACAGATCTTATTGTTGCTCGGTTGTAACACCATGTCTTACTTTTCCGGTACCTCCATATGCACCCATAAATTCATCAAAGACAAGGTCAGTTGTTTCTTGGAGCTGGTATACTTCTTCTTCCCCGTCATAGTCACCCTTAAATGGCACCAGCCGGTTTTAGTGCACTACCTTCGGTTTACCATTCGGGATCTTACTTATACGGTAAATGACATCATTGATTTTATTTTTGATGAGATACGGACCTTCCCAAGACCTTTTAGGCTTCGGAGAATAACCCTTTTGTCTCTTTGGATTATGGAGCCAGACTTTGTCGCCTTCCTTGAAACATCCTTTTGTAGCTTGGGTATCGTACCGTTTCTTTATACTATCGCTGGCGATTTGAAGATGCGAGCGGACTAATTCAGGAATATCGTCCATTTTTTTTCATAACTGGATCACATAATCTTCATCAGCTACATCTTTTTCAGGTCAGCATTCAAACTCAAGATCGCACGGTAGTCTCATCTCACGCCCAAACAGGACCGAAAGATACTGATCCCAATCTCGCTGATGGTTTAAAACCACTGTTGACAGATATTTTCCAATGGTCTTATTCATTCGCTCTACCATTCCATCGGATTATGGGTGCAATGCTGTAATTCTGGTTTTCTTCATGCGTAGTCTGTCACAGATTCCACGAAAGAGTTGGCTTTCAAAATTGCTGCCTTCGTCACTATGAATCTCCAAATCGACAGATAAACTCTTTTATCAACACATCGGCAACAGTTGCGGCCTCTTTATTTGGAATGGCTTAGACTACCCACTCCACCTAAATGTATTTATTACCATCCTCGGTCACGGTCAATGAATGGTCCAGTAATATCTAAGGTGATTCTCTCAAATGGGATACCAACGTTGTATTGCTTCATGGGTACCTTTCTTTTTCGTAGAGGTTTATTACTCATAGCACAGCTGGTACATCTCTTACACCAGTCTTTTACACTGGTTATCCAATAAAACCTTTCACGAACTCTCTGAAGGGTTTTCATAACACCAAGATGTCCTAGTGATGTACTGTCGTGTAACTGTCGAAGTACTTCGGCTACTCTAGTCTTTGGAATGACCAACTGTCTTCTGTTTTGGGAACCATCATCATTCTCTAGAATTCGCTTTAATAAGCCTTCTTCTAGAATAAAAGAGTCCCACTGAGCCCAATATGATTTAACCTACTGGATAATTTCGATGCATCTTGCCAAGTAGGTTGACGATTTTCCTCTTTCCATTGTCTTATCTTCTTTAAAACGGGATCGTTCTCTTGTTTCTTGTTCTCCCTAAGTTTGACAGAGGCACACCCATTGCTGACATCCGGCGTTCTTCGTACTGTAACTTCTTTGGCAGATGTGGCCAACCCCTTTACAATCAGAGTTCCTTGACCAATACCTGCATTGCGCTTCGAAGGTTCCGCCATGACAGGCATTGCTTTCTCGATAGTTCCTTACAACCGCGTTACTCTTATGATTTCACTTCTTTCAGGCAACACCGTTCCTTCCTGTACAGCCACCGGTACGGTTTTCCGATTCGTAGTGGTCTTAGGCGCGAACTGCTTACATTTCCCATTTCACCGCAATTCTAGCACCTAACAGTCTTCGGTTGCTTCTCAATCAGGCTTTTTATCATGTGAAACAATTGGTCCAATTTATTTCACCAGAAGTCAGTGTAGGCGCTTCATATTCAAGAGCAGTGGACAAGACATCGACAAATGTTTTGTGACGGGCTTAACGGAGTGTTCTTTGCATTTCATGGTCACGAAGTTCATCTGCAAAAGCTTGAACAGCCAAACATTCAATCATGTATTCCGAAGCTGCTGTTGGGTAGGCAAATCGCACCATCTTCGCAATATCTAATTCAAAATCTTGAAGGCTCTCGTCACGTTTCTGTTTACGATTCTTCAACTGTAATAGTTACACCTGCTCTAAGTGTTTGTAGCTATTTCGCATGTTTAGTCTCGTCTTGAGTTGTTCAAAATCATCCGTCTCTTTCACAGGTATTATCTGAAGAACATCTAAAGCGTCTCCTTGAAGGGCGATGGTCAAATTTACTGCCTTCTCTCGTTCAGACCATTCGTTTGCTCTGGCAACTGTTTCGAACTGTTTAAGGTAATTGGTCTATGACATCTTTCCGTCGAAAGTTGGGGCTTTAACACGGGCAGAGTTTACAGCTCCTTCCAATTTCAACTTCGACTCCACTTCATGGCACTTTATTTCACCGTCCTTGGCTGGTTCTGTATATTCCAGTTCTTCTATCTTCTTTTCCATTTCTTTGATTTTCTCCCCCAACGGATAATATCTTATTTTCCATAGAAGAAATTTCAGAAGACACCTTTTCTTCTAAGGAAAAACTTTACTATCTAAAAAAGATATGTCTGAAGAAACTTTAGTTTCTAAGAAAGAAACTTTAGTATCTAATGAAGAAATATCAGAAGACACTTTATTTTCGAAGGAGGAAATGTCGAAAGAAACTTTAGTTTCTAAGGTGGAAATATCATTTTTAATAGAGGAAACATCAGAAGACACATCATCCAAACCTTCGTTTTTCATTGCTTCTTTAAGTCGTTCTGTCAGCTCTGCTTTCTTCCCTGTTATCTCCACATCACTATCTTCTAATTCTCGAAGCAATTCAGCCACTTTTAAATCACAGTTTAGCCATTTTTATCCACTATTTATTTACAGTTCCACTTTAACACCAATGCAACGTTTATTTAATTTATTTATAGTTTATTTATTTAAAACGCTTTATTTACAAGTTATTTATAACGTAGGTACTAATTAATTTATATAATTCTAATTTATTTATTACAATTTATCTTTTCTGTCCAACACTTAAATTCAATCTGCTGTCCGTCGACAAGTCTGTAGTAGAACTCTCTAGGCTTTCCAGAACGATGAAAAACTGCCTTCCTATAACTCATACGCCGCAAAGGGATCAATCCGGTAGTTTTCAAAGCAGTGCGTTTGTCTTTTTATTGCAGGCGCCGCTAGACTTCATACCGCGGTCAAGGAGTAAACAAAGCACAGGTATGCTTTTACAATAGCTTTAATAATAGTTGTAGATCAATGATAAACAACTTTTCTTTTTAAAAAAATTTGTATCTCTAATACTTTACGAATTTTTTTAGAGCAAAATCACATTCATTTAAGTTTTAGACAATCAAATTCTGATCAATTTTTTTTATAAAAAAAATGGTATCTCAAATAATTAATAATTTTAAGGGCATTGTTAAGAATACCCTTAACAAAAATATCAGAATCGCGGAAATTACTAGACTGCCCCTGTAACATTTACTTAAGTATCATTCAGAGCAAGGTTGGCAAAGTCAATAAAGTGAAAACAACTGCGCGGTTGTTATTCAATACAAATGCACGAATTTAAAATCAATAATAATGACTGGACGAAGAAAATCTGTTGGTGATATGTATGTGCGAAAATAATTGCGCGAGCCGTAACGGTTTGGAATCACGCCGACGATGAAAAGTGTCCTTCAGACTTGTCTCAACTATGATAACACACGTCGATAATTGGGTAAAAACCTACGCCCTAATGGCGACCAAATGATAAATGTTATTCTGAGTACGATTTGTAAATAATTAATAAAATGTAGTGTGGTGTTCTTCATGCAAAATTAAACAGTGGTGAATGCAGATGTGCTTGTTTCTTTCTATCATCGAGCGTTAACCCAAAGCCGGCAGCTTGTAAGCACATGGAATACAGTCCGCTTCAGAATCATAGCATAAGAGGTAAGATCCTTACTAGTCCTCATAAACAGGCATTATACGTTTTCCATGTAATGCCCTTAAAATCATTAAGTATTAGAGAAAAAAAAAAGAAAAATTGTTTAGAATTTATTCTTCTTCAACTTTTATTAAGGCTAGTTTGCTCTTAAAAAATGTTTAAGAAACCACCCCAATAGCGCAATTCGTACCAGGAGTTCGAATGTGATCTTTTGGTAGTATACTCAGACACCCTGAAAAAATCATCATGTTTGGATTTTTTGCAAAACAGACAATTTTCTCGGATTATTTATTACAACACAGACGTTTGAATCTCAACATCACATAATATTCTAATTAAATTTAAAAATACTGAAGCCTGAAACGCCATCTATTATTATATATTACCTTTAATAAAGAAATCTGTATACTGAGCAGACAACAGAGCCATTGTATAAAGAACTAGTTCTTTATACAATGACAGCATACTGTGGAGCTATCTGTGTTTCGTGACTGAAAGTTGTACAAAATATTTTTTATAGTTTTACTGCATTCCGAAATTTCGTCAACGGTATTATTTATTTTTGCCTAAAGTAAAAGTACAGCTAATTTAGGAATTTTTAAAAGAAAATAGTTTCGAAGAGTTTTACCTTTGCCTTACTCTCACTCCTGTCTGTTTCTTGACTTGCTGACTTGGTAGTACTAACATCATAATCCAATACATTTTTTGAAGTCGCTGCAATGAAATAAATATCTAGCTTTTGAACATTTCGAAATAAATTTTGATGGTTTTCTTCCTTTTCTCTATCCTTATTCCGGTTTTAAGCGCCACTTAATTTTTTCTTTACCGCGTCCATTATAACACATATTCTGGTATAGCCGATAAAACGACAATGCTACTTTTTTGGGTATTTCCCCCAGTAAATGTCAAACACTTTAATTGACGTAATAAAAATAAAATACGCAACAAAATACGCGATGTTGCCACGCTCATATGTTTATGTAGAGCTTTCCACTTCATTACGATTTTCGTTTCAACTTGGCAATTATTTGGCGCCCCTTTGGATTTTGCGCTACAAGCCCGGACTGGCGAGTTTGTACTATAATACGCCACTGTTAATTCCAATGGCATCTGCGACTTGTTCTTCAAATAAATAAATAAATAAATAAAATACATTCTTTATTAATGCCGTAAAAATTAAAACGAAAGTTAAATGTCACTTTAAACTAATTTTGCTTCCTTTTCTGTGTAGGCTTTATAGAAGGACAAGGCGAAGAAGGGATGGGTGAAGAAGACGTAACAGAAGAAGGCGGAGAAGAGGAAGATGTCGGGGAAGAAGGAGAAGGTGAAGAATTAGGTGAGGAAGAAGAACAGCTGGGATTTATTCCAGAAGAGCAATCACCTGTACCAACGATAGTGTCTCTGCAAGGGGAAGATGCAGGAGTGCCAGCCGCCCCGCTAGAAGGGGAAGATGAAACTGAAGCATCTACAATTCAGTCTCCGGATATTACAGAACCTGCTGAAATTGAAGGTAAATAAATATGACACGCTCATAAGGGCTCATTTATGGTGATCCTAATTTAATTTTCTCTCATACGTGGTATCATAATCGAAGAGATGTAGGGTTAGATAAATTGGAAAAATGTTGAAAACACTCAACATTCGACTGGTTTAGTGATGCTGATGTTATATGTAATCCTTATGTAATAGAATGTCTTATCACAGTCTCCGGGGGAATGAATTGTCATTTTAATGACAATTGTGATGACAATTGTGATGACAATTGTAATGACAATAATTGTAATGACAATAATTGTAATGACAATAATTGTAATGACAATAATTGTAATGACAATAATTGTAATGACAATAATTGTAATGACAATAATTGTAATGAAAATAATTGTAATGACAATAATTTGTAATGACAATAATTGTAATGACAATGATTGTAATGACAATAATTGAAATGATAATAATTGTAATGACAATAATTGTAATGGCTATAATTAAATCGTTTATTGTAAATTTTTACTGCAGAAACAAGCCAACCAAGTGCTGTACGTTGGATTATTTATGCAATAAACAACTTGAGTGTTACATCGAAATCAAGCATATCCAGCTATCTGTGTTTGGATCCTTTCTGCACTAAACGATGCGTCTGCATGTTTAGTGTGTATTTCCGTCAAAAAACGAAAATGCCCGAAAATATCACTTGGCCTGTTTTAACAAAAAATGATTCAATAGTAATGACAATAATTTTAATGATAATTGCAATGACAATAATTGTAATGACAATAATTGTAATGACAATAATTGTAATGACAATAATTGTAATGACAATAATTGTAATGACAATAATTGTAATGACAATAATTGTAATGACAATAATTGTAATGACAATAATTGTAATGACAATAATTGTAATGACAATAATTGTAATGACAATAATTGTAATGACAATAATTGTAATGACAATAATTGTAATGACAATAATTGTAATGACAATAATTGTAATGACAATTGTAATGACAATTGTAATGACAATTGTAATGACAATTGTAATGACAATTGTAATGACAATTGTAATGACAATTGTAATGACAATTGTAATGACAATTGTAATGACAATTGTAATGACAATTGTAATGACAATTGTAATGACAATTGTAATGACAATTGTAATGACAATTGTATAATGAAGATTGTAATGACGATTGTAATGACGATTGCCGGAGAGGCTAGCTGCGAGCTTAGTGTGCATCCACATACTCGCAACAGTTAAGCAGTGATTCTCCGGTCACGTCGTGGATGGGTGACCGCTGGGAGGTTATGGGCTACAGAGGTTCCACCATGGGCTGTGTTACTATGGGACTCATCTGACTAGCTGTTAAGCACCGACGACGTGGAATGAATGACGATGAATCAGGGAGTGAATTGTTGAATAAGAAGTAGTAGGATCTTCAAATGGTGGTACAATAAGCCGCAGGCTGCAGTGCCGCCAAGCTACAGACGGATTAGGGTGTAGCACGGGAGATACGAAGGGTGTAAAAAAATGATTGTAATGACAAGTGTAATGACAATTATAATGACAATTCTAATGACAATTATAACGACAATTGTAACGACAATTGTAACGACAATTGTAATGACAATTGTAATGACAATTATAATGACAATTATAATGACAATTGTAATGACAATTGTAATGACAATTGTAATGACAATTGTAATGACAATTGTAATGACAATTGTAATGACAATTGTAATGACAATTGTAATGACAATTGTAATGACAATTGTAATGACAATTGTAATGACAATTGTAATGACAATTGTAATGACAATTGTAATGACAATTGTAATGACAATTGTAATGACAATTGTAATGACAATTGTAATGACAATTGTAATGACAATTGTAATGACAATTGTAATGACAATTGTAATGACAATTGTAATGACAATTGTAATGACAATTGTAATAACAATTGTAATGACAATTGTAATGACAATTGTAATGACAATACTAATGAAAATTGTAATGACAATTCCAATGACAATACTAATGACAATACTAATGACAATTTATTCCCTGGAGACTGTTAAGACATTCTGTTACAGGATATTCTTTTACAATTAGATGTTACATTATGTAAACAAAAACTCGTTTTATAAGTAAATAGTTAATAAAACGAATTAGTTATACTATATTTTCAATTTTGTGCCATTTACAGGATTTTTATTATTTTTTTTCTTCAATTTTGGGTGTTTAAAAACGCTATTTAAGTATTCATTAGAATGAAAAAAATATTATAATATGGTAATGAATCATTGTTTTAGATACAAGCAAAAAAGGAGCCAAAGGCAAAGGCAAGAAAGGAAAAAAGGGAAAGAAAAGTATGTATCACTTTTAAGTTCTAAAATTTGGTAAATTTATATTGAAATTAATCTAATACATTCTAAACATTAGGAATGAAAACTTTCGCTTTTAAGGTATTTATTAACTTCATCAGGGTGACAAATCTATTTAATTGTTCGTTTTTTGTTGATAGCATCCCTAAAGCTACCATAAATGTATCCTTTTCAATAAAATGAGAACTAAAAAGAAAATGGAAAAATAAGTCAGGACAACAAACTTCTCTGGAACATACTTGAGAAGGAAGTAGTAGGGGAAAGGGGAGAATGGTGGCCGCCTAAGCATTTTTGTTTATTTATACTGTTAGATGACTTTAGATTTTTATAATAATAACGTAAATAAAACTTCAAACCTTAATACTTCAAACTATTTACCCGCGGTCGAGGAGGCCACTGTCAGTATTAACCCCCATTTAAAAATAATTGCAAAAATCACAAATGTAAAATGCCTTCGAAACTGGTGCAGTCTTTGTGCGCCCATAAGCGACAAATGCTACATTGGATCTATAGTTCTCTATCTATCTCTATCTAATTCATTTCCCTTCTCTTGCTGCACTAAGTTATTCAGCATTCCATCGTGCTTTGTCACCTTTCTTTTTGTAAACTCGAGGCATCTGATATATATAAGATATAATATAAGAGTTTATATAGAAATACTCTGTATAATATAAAAACAATTTGGGGGTAATAGTGGCCCACCAGCATTACTTCCAAGTAAGTGGCTTATAACCCCAAAATATATGTTTATACCCATTGACTCATAGTCATTAATCACTTAAATTACATTAAAAATGTAACATATGGGTACAATTTATGTAACTTAATAAACTTAATTACATGCTTCTACATACCTTTAAAAATCTGACACTGATATATAAAATTTGACATTGTCAAAAATTCCTACTTTACCGGCACATCTCAATTGCTTTGGGTATAGTATGGACTACACACAGATAAACGTCGTATTAGGTATTAAACGTGAAATAATATTAGGTCGTAACTGTAAATATTTGATGGCTACTATTACCCCAAATAAGGCCACAAAAGCCCGGTATGAAGGAACATTGCGGAAACATCACCGGTGTAATAACCAGTCAAGAAGGTACATTCAATGATAGATAACGTGGAAAAAATGACAAGATGTATAAGGATTAAGAACAGAGTAATCAAGACCAAAGATAATTGGGATATTCCCAGGACGAAATGTAGAAGAAGTACAGTTTTGTGAAGAACTTCAAAACCATAGAGCTGTACAGCAAAAAAATTGGGCCAAAAATCAATCTCGATTGCAACCGAAACGCATGTAATACAGTAGTATACGGATAGTTTCAAAACCACAGAAGAACCTGAAATAGGATTGTATGGTTCTACAACCAAGTAATATTAAAGACTGGGTAAATAACCAAGCATATTTCACTTAGATATACACGCCATTAAGAAGGGGATCCAGTTTGACATCGAGAGAAACTCTCGCAGACAAAAGATTATTATCATGACCGACAGCCAAGCAGCTCAGAAATGGCCTGGAGATATCTAGAAAAACTGAATGAGCTAGGACCCCGCGACACAACGGGGTAAATGATCACGAGATTGTAAATAGTCTCGCCAGGAAAGGGAGTCAAACACTGTTTTGCGGTATCAGCAATACCACAATATTAGAAGATATTAAAGAAGAATTGAGTGTAGAGGAATCGATAATTGGAACGATCTCTTGGTGCTAAGACAGACTAAGCAATTTCTGGGCGACTATATCTAGACAAGTTGCAAGAACAGGCTTCGCATTTGTAGTGTCTACTATCGCACTACTTAATACCCTTCACCTTACTCTTATCAACGTTCAACAAATTTTTATCTAACCTTCATGTAGGAAATTTTTTAATAAATCCCTCGACTGTGAGGTTACACTGTATTTCTGGCTCAAAGTACACCTTAGTAAACTGAGAGTAGCAGATAGTGATTGCAAATTCTGTGAGGAAGAGGAGGACGAAACCTCCATTCCCATTCTGACTGAATGTGTAGCACTCCAGAATCCAAGGAGCATGTGAAATAAAAGGGAGATTTACTTGACCTGAAGCCACTCCAAATCCAACATTTTCTTGAGATGATAGGATTGGAACAGTCGTTATAGGCATTGAGACATTTCCTTGCTACATTAGCGACAGAAGGGGGGACATAACAGATCTTTTAGAGATGTTATATATCATGTTAATGGTATTCTCACGATGTTAATGTTAATCTTATTTATAATGTTATTTAAAGGACGTTTCTTTTTTCCTGTCAAATATCTGAATTTTCGTATTATCTAGTTATCAGTTATACAATTCATAACAAGTAAAAGATTACAAAGCAAGAAAGGACAGAAAAGCACGCGCACGGGACGGTTGTGAATGTGCATAGATAAATAAATGAAAAGATATGGTGTGATATGATGGGCGCTAACGACTGGCAATTTTTAAATAACGATTACTTATCGAAGGATTATGGTAGGCCGGCAACAATGTATTTCTAGAATAACCCATAATCCTCCTATGCAGCGGCGTAACAATGATTCCCGATAAAATGCTAATATTGAATAAGCTTTAATTGACACGATTTTATTGGTTTACGTTAAATAGTGTTTAATCTATTTTTTCTGAAAAAGTTGACAAGAAATGGGAATTTTTTATTATTAATTTTATAGAAAAAAAAAAAAATTATAAAAAGTTCTGCAATAATAAATCAATAATGAAGAATAAAATTTGTAAAATATTTAGTGTTATACATTAAAACAGTATGGCCTTCTAATTATCAAATTTAAAGTTAAAAAATACATAAATAATTTAGCAATTGTTAGATTATTTATTTCAAAAGATAAATCAAAAAGTAAATTAAAAATAAATATACTTACATGCATCACATATAAATCAGTAATCAAGTATAAAATAAAAAATATTGATTTATGCTGAAGAGTCCCCAGAACTGGAATCCTCTGGGACATTGAATTCTATCACCACCTTTTCGATTACATTGCCCACCATCCCGTCCAATCTCCACATTTTCTCTTCTTCCTTGATGACGTGGGTTACGGCATTTGTCTAATCCTCTTTTCGTATTCGTGCCATTCCGAGTTCCAGTTAACGTTGGGCGTCGCTAATTTTAAATGTTACGTTTTCACGAGCTACGCAACCCTTTACTTGAGCCCAAATAAGTATCGGATTCAATTCGCAATGGTACGGTCACTATATAATGGGCATATAATGAACCTAAGGAAATTTAGTAGTAATTAAAACGTAAAAGTGTTATATTTCATTTTAAGCCGTTTTACCTCGAATTTATTTATTAGAAAAAAACTATTACAACTAACCAAATACCTGTCTCACGCTACGACAATGATTTATTTAATTGAATTAATACTTAACTGGTTTGTTAGACTTCCAGTAAATATTATGGAATAACCTCATTTTTTAAATTTCCGCGTTGACGAAGCATAAAAAATAAAATGATCCCGGTAAGTTGAGCTCTGAAAATTATAATAGAATTACATTGTTGCCGGTTGACCACAGAGCAGTCCACAAGATGGGTCATCATCATTTAAAATGGTTCGAGTATAGAAACTTATTGACTAACACAGAACTATGTACATTGTAGAATTTGTTAAATCACTATTATATTGAGAAAATTCATCACACCCATTAATATTGTAAAAATTAAGTTAATTCTAACATGGCGATGGTACGACGAGAATGTTGGTCGGTGAGAAGCTGAGAGAGAGTCTTCTGGTCCAAAAACAGTGGCGGCTCGTGGGCACTAGCGGCAGTGGGGCACAAACTGGAAAAGAATCCCGGGATTCGTTTTTCCCTTAGGAAAACAAGTTCTCCGCTTAATGAAAATTAAATATATTTCAAAACAAATTAAATATTACAAAATTGAAGACTAACTGCTAGGTATACCGCTGCAGTTGTATACTATTTCTTATTGTTGAAGTTCATTCTTCTAGATTTTTGGCTAGCGAAGTGATCGATGACCAGATTATTAAAATTTGGAATGGACCGAATAAGTTTTTTTTCGATGGATAACATGGCTAATGCGCACAATCTATCTTGGCACATAGTGTTCCTTAAAAATGTTTTAATACGTTTTAGTGTCGAAAAACATCTTTCACTCTCCACTGTGGCCATGGGAATTGTACACAGGATAGTTAGCAGCTCCACAGATTCCGAAAATGTAATTGTCAAATTGTTCTCAAAAAACACTTGTAATAACGGTACGGCCCCATTGTGTTGCACAAAGTCATCTCGGGTGTAAAGTATGGACAGTTCGTTTTTGAATAATTAAGCTGTTTACGTCTGAAAATAAACTACACACAGTTTTAACGTCCTCATTTAGAAAACAACCTCGGTAGTCTTTAAATTTTTCACTATCAAATAAACTTGCAGTTGTTAGGTGGGTAGTAAAACTAAAACGTTCATTTTCCTGCACTACTATTGTACCATAAATTTCCATACATATCCTAAATTAGGAATGGGGTCCTCATTTTCAACAAACCGTCTCTTCTTGCTTGTACTTGGACCTGATTGGGTGTTGTCATTTAAGTTTAGTTCTTGTGGGTCTTGTTGTGATTGCCATTCTTCATGAATTAGCGTGTCAATATTATTTATAATATTTTGAATAGCTGCTGCAAAATATATGTTTACCTTAACCTTGAGAGCATCGAGCTGTCTACTCTGCAGTTGATCAAAAAGTATATCGCAATTTGGCATTATTTTGCTGAAGAAAAATAACCAGAATCTAAAATCTGTCTTTCAAAATTTATCAACCCTTTAGTCTGATTAATATTTTTTTTATCGAATTCTGTGTTCATAATTTCTTCGAGACAGTTAATCAAATCTTCTTTATAAACAAATAGTATTGACACACTTCGATGTAAAATTCCATCGGTTAGGAGCATTTTAAAGCATACGACTCTGAAGAAAAGGTGTTTGGCAATTTAAAATCTCCCAGCCTAAAATATCTTTTATATTTTTAAATTAGAAAAAATATTTATATCTCTATTTGATAGTTTATCAACTAATCCTGGAATTTCCAACGTATACCTTTTTGAAATGAGCAAAATAGAATTTGATCATCCTTGCGAACAATTTGCGAAAATGTACATCATTAAATTATTTATAAGACTCAGAATTTTTTATACTCTTAAATATGCAAACAGAGATTTGAAATCCTCGAAAAAGTCAGACAAAACCAAAAGAAAAATTAAAATTTTGTCCCATTTATAAATATTATTGATTTTTTTTCATCATATTTTTGACTGCTTTATAAAAAAAGTTATTTTTCTTTGTCGTTTTATTTCTTAACTATTCCAAAGGTTCAACTAACGTTTTTTCGTAATCACAATAAATAAATTATTATTATTATCATGGTCCAACAAACGAGCACCTATCTGGTCTAGGTAATCTGTGCCATGAGTACAGCACGTCACAATGAGGAAGGACAGCGCCCTGCTTGTGACGTATAATCCATCGCATGTGTTCACCTCTTGCTAAGCGATATTGCCGTTGTGTTTTTCGCATCATAATGAGAGAGAAAACAACAGAGGCATACATTAGCTGTGCCCTGTGCCCACTCAATTTTGGAACGCCCGGTCGTCCAGTGTCATGCAATATTAGATAAAATAATAATAGGCATTGAGGAAAATATAAAATATGTAAGATATTTTTTTTTGGTTTATTATACTAGGGCACGTGCCTAAGTGCCCTTACGGGCAAACCGCCACAGTCCAAAAGCGAAGCCAAACTCACCGCGCGTCGCGTCGTTTGGTTTTGACCAATCGTCTGCAAGGAAACATTCACATGACACCTTCCGTTGGTATTTGTGTCTGTGATGATGAATGACGTAACAACTTATTTTTATATTTGCCAGAGGCGTACTAAATTATTTGTTTTAATTTAAATGTACGTTGAAGGTTTCTTCAACACTTTAATTCTCGTGGGTCTTGGCGAAATATAAATATTAGGCTTACTTCATCGGATTGCCGTGGGATAAACAAAAATTGTTATGACTTTTTAATTTTTAATGTTACAACTTGTCATCCTTCTATAATAAACATATTTACATTTACATCTCCGACAATTATTTATTTATGATGGGATCTATAAATTATATATGATCCCACAGCATTGCAACAGGGATCCTTACCGGACGTTGCCGACTCAAAGCGTACCTTAGTAAACTGGGACTAGTAGACTGGATGTGTATCACTCCAGAATCAAAGAATACTATACTTACTTTAGGTGCATACCAAATACAAGAGGGCGATCTACCCAACTTGCAGCGACTCCAATTCCTTGGGAAAATAGGATTGGAAGGGTCGAGAATATTCCCTTGCTGCATTAGCGACAGAAGGGAGCATATTAGATTTTTCAGGTCGTAGTGTATTAATATCCTATATACCGGGTGTTCAAATTAAAGCGTTACAGCTATATACCTCTTTTTATAAAAAAAAACGTTTCAGACGAAAGTTTTATAGTTTTGTGAGGAAAAACTTTTGGCTAAAATCGTTTTTTATAGCTAACCATGATGTGGCCAACTTCTTTTTCGCGCAGCAACATTTTCAAGTAGCTGTTACTCAAAAAGTAAAAGTCCAATAAAAAAAATATTTCCCTCAAAAGTTTCTTATTTTTTTATGTACTTTAAGAATATGTAAGAAAAAAATGGGATTCCCATTTAAAAAAACAAAGTTCACCTCGATATGACCATATTATGGTCAGCTATAAAAAAATTAATTTAGCCAAAATGTTTCCCCCAAAAAACTATAAAACTTTTTTCTGAAACTTTTTTTTCTAAAATGCATGTTTTCGGCGGTATTTAACTGTAACACTTTAATTTGAACACTCGGTATAACATCATAACATATCTCGTAGTCGCCCGATAAACTCAAATTTGCCTCCTTGTAACATAATCTACTATTCTTATTTTTATTACAAAAAAAAAATCGAATATACTTATTATACTTCATGTTTTTAGCTGATCAAGCTGCAGTAGAACCGGAAGTGCCACATAAGGTTGTACCAAAGGTTGAATATGTTTTAGTTAAAGTAAGTATACATTTACATTAGTATATAATTTTTACAGATCTATCACATCTTTTTTTAAAAATTTTGAAGTATTTCGATCATATATTGAAATACATCGGAAATTACTAGTCAAACTAGTGTTTGTCTTAAAAATTAAAAACGAAGTAGTTGCTGCTCAGTGGCGGCTGGTGCATAAATGCTGTAAAGCTGCAGAACTATCAAAAAAACGTAAGTATCTCGTCTACATTTCACAGAAATTATTTTAGAGATTCTAAAATATACGTAATAGATTTTATGGATGATCTCATTAATTTTAATTTAATTATAATTATTAAATAGTAAATAGTGGGTGTGCACTGCACCGCTTGGACCTCCTGCGCTCACAGTCTCCTTTAGTTGTTCTAGTAGTCTTGAGAAGCATATGCCTGTCAAAAAGATTAATTAACAAACAAAAATAAAACAGTTGTATTGAAAAATAATTATAAAGTAGAATTGATTAACACGTTTTTATTTTATTTTTAATCAAAATACTGTTGACAAGAAAGTTTCGCTGATGGCATACGTGGTAATTAATCTTTTTTGACAGGCTTATACCTATAAAGACTACTATACTTTGTTTTTAAACTAGAAGGAGCGAATTGAAAAGACGTATTTACACAAGGAAAAGTAACTAGATTCGTTACTAAGAGCGTGTTCCGAAATATAGTCGTGTTCAAAATTTGTTATTATCGGCCCTAGTCAGCGAACGACCAATGAGGGGTTAAGGGACAAATAAATGTCATTTGAGTCGATTTTTTTTATTGGTTCCAGACAAAGGTCGTAAATTTCACATTATTGTGATCTGAAGTGTGTCTAAAACGAACTGTCAATGTCAAATGAATTTCAATATGGTCGTTGATTTGTTGACGTTAACAGAAATAAGTTTTTCTTGCTTTTAAAATTGAATTTTTGAGGATAGCTATGATCTTTTTAAAATGGATATTACATATTTAAGAAAATTGTTAAAAGAATATCAAGATGCGGGTTAGTATAAAACATAAAAATATGATCGTTTTACATTTTTAAGGATATATTTGATATAGGTATAAACTTAAGTAAAAGGTAATCAGTGAATGGAAACTGGATCACAAAGTGACTATGAACAATATGGAAGTTGTAGCTTATTTAGTGTTAACCCATATTTAATACGCTAAAGGGCAAATCGAGGCATTCAAAAATGTACAGGCTTATGAGTCAGGATTTGTTTTGAAAACTGGAACCAAAATTTGCATAACACTACACATCAACATTATATCATTATTAAAACTTAACTCATTAATATTGTAGGTCCTTTTAACTATAGTTTTAATTTTTAACTATATTTTTTAATTTAAAGTGAACTATTCATACATACCTACATATTAATGTTAAGTAGATATTTTTAAAATGTTTGTTGTGAAAGTAGAAAGTAATGTTAGCTCATTATCCTAAATTAAGATTATCTAATGTAGTAGATGTGAATTATCAATTTTGTAAATGGTTTTTGTTTTTTTATGGTTTTAATAAATAAAATTTACTTGAATATTTAGTTACTTTTTAATCATTTTGGTAAGAAATTTATCAATTTTTAGTTTTAAATAATCAGTAATAAAGTTATTAGTCTTTTCAGGAATACTTCGGAATTCATCTCTTTATGGTAATCTCCCGTCTTTTTGCCTTCAAAACCAATAATGCATTTTCTAAAAAACCTTCAGAATCAGCATGTAAAATAATAAGTCGTCTTCCCTTTCTTGTAGAGATTTTCAGGAATTGCTACCCTTAATAGTACTCGATGAAAAAGGATCCATAATCGTAGAAATTCAATACAATTGCCTACTGAAGTTGTGAAAAAAAAAAGTAATAATGATGAGATATCAAAATATAAAATGTCAGAACTGTCAAAAATATCAATTATTAGCTGATGTTAATGCCAGGGCTGGTATATCTAAGGGGGTCGCGACATAGGAGTCCATTTTGAACGCCATTTTTTTCGAAATAGTAGTCGCCCATTGATCTGGCAACGTGGCAACCTGTAGTCGCCAGGCTTACCAATATAAGAAAAAAATCAATGTTTTTTTTAAATAACATTTTCACATTTTCATATATTTTTTAGGTTAAAATATTTTAATTTAATAAATTATTAATAATCTCACATGTATATAGAATACGTCGTGAAAAGTAGATCACTTTCAATTTTGTGCTGTTTTGGTTTATTTTAAAAGGTAATTGATGATATGAAGACAATTTTCTTATAGATGGGGATGCATAACAAATTATGGCTCCCTTTTTAACCGACTTCAAAAAAGGAGGAGGTTGTCAATTCGTAGCGATATTTTTTTTTTATGTATGTTCAGCGATTATTCTTTAACACGGTGTTCGATTTCAATGATTCTTTTTTTGTTAGAAAGAGGGTACTTCAGGGGTGGTCCCATATAAATTGAGTTAAAATCTAATAATTGGGTCTATGAGAAAATCCTCAAACTCTTAATTTTTTATGTATGTTTAGCGATAATGCTTTACCACCTTGTCCGATTTATATGATTCTTTTTTTTTTAGTAAGCGGGTACCTCACGGGTGGTCCCATATGAATTTGGTTAAGATGTGGTGATGGCATCTGCACGTTTTTGAAGTCGGTTTTTTTAAATTTTTAATTTCTAATACTTGTTTAGAGCTCCAGTCCCCTAAGTCTATTTATTTTAGGTCTTTTTTAAATTGTTGGTGGGTATTATTCACTTCATTTTTATGTTTTTATTTAATTTAAATAATTTTGTGTAATATCTTGCGATTTGTTTTCTATACATTTTAGCATGTATTTGTAGGCTACATCTTACAAAGGATGGCTTTAAAATATCTTTACAACAGAGGTAGGTACTTTCCTAAAACTGGCCGAAATTTGAAATTGAATGCAGTTCTTAAAGAAAATCTCCAGTAAAAAATGTCTGCATGCAGAATAACAGTAGCATAGATTAACAAAGCTGACAAAAGAGTTGGACAAAACTTTGTCAAGCCTTTTTTAATATTTCAGGACAATAGTGTTAACAGCAGACCACAATAATAACAACCAAAGTTTGGTAATCAAGCAAAATATTTCAGTATCTCCAGAATTATAAACTTATGAAAACTATAATAGGAAACATGTATGTGTTCGAATATGAAATTACCTAAATTAGCATATCTAGTGAATATTGTATTTAAAGAATATATTTTTAATCAAAACTTTTGTGCTTCTACTCCAATACTAACCATATTACCATATAGAAATGCATATACATTTTATAGTATTAATCAAATGCACTCACAATTTATAAATATTAAACTAAAATAACACATTTCAAATAACACCTGTTTTTTATTTAAATAAAACGTTAAATATATGTTTTTATTAAATACATAAATAGTCTCAACTACACATTTTTTTTTGTTTTTACTTCTAGTGTAAAAGTGACCACTAATTCACAGTCTTTCAAGTTTATTATTTAAAGAGACCAGCTACTACAAAATATTCTATTGATGATAACTAATTTCTCTTTAATAATGGTTTTACATTTTACAGCACTTTGTTTATATGAAACATCTATTTAGCTCTTAATTAAATCACATTTGAATCAAGTAATTACATTTTCATATTCAACTTGTATGTATTCTTATTAGAACTTAGTCACTTTTTTTTTAATTTGAATTTTTTGACACCAAACCACAAACTTAGTCACTTAAAAATGTTGAAAGAGAATGTCATAAAGGTAAAATTCCTTCTTCTTTCATGCAATTTTAGGTTGCAAACGTTTTGTCCAACACCTTTTTTACAATTTATCCCAAGCAACACTAGAAAGATTTAAATCCTGGATTTCAGCATTCAGTTTTGAGATGAGTGCAGCCACAAGGCAGTCCAAACGATAACCGTGGATTTCGCCAAACGAACATCAGAAAAGTGTTGCCAACTTAAACTGACTCCTATTTCCCCCCTAGCCTCAGTCACCCCCTCGTGTTGCCAACTTAAGCTGACTCCTATTTCCCTCCTAGCCTCAGTCACCCCCTCATCCATTACTGGGTCTATGTCGCGACCCTCTTAAATATATCAGCCCTGGTTAATGCTAAAAAGTGATGTGTGAAACTGACTGCAATCTGACCAATCAGAAGTCTACAGAATTGCCAACTTAATTCAAATCGCTCCTCCCAGTTTAAAAACAGAGTTTAGAACAACTAAAGGAGACAATAGCACGGACGGCCCAAGCGGTGTAGTACACACACTATTTATTAATTAAAATTAAATTATTAATAAAATAATAGTTTAAAAAACTAGAAAACACGCTTTAGTAGAAAAGCAAACTTAAAAGTAAAAAATAATTTTCAATAAATTTAAATTAAGCATAGTGTGATTAATAAAAAAAAATTATTTTATTGTAGAAAAGTGTGGGGTGCTTAAGATATTTCCATAATGACTCTTCTTTTACCAATATCTGTCTTTAAAATATTATAACAATTGATATCAAGCACCCCACGCTTTTCTACAATAAAATAAATTTTTTTGTTAATCATACTATTCTTATTTAAATTTATTGAAAATTATTTTCCATTTTGGTAAAAATGCAGTTTAGAGTGAATCCGCGCATTACTAAAATTTTTAGTTTACGTGGAAGTATATGTCATTTGAAGCTTAAAAGTAAAAAAACTCTTGGCGGTCACTAATTTAAATAAATTTAATCGCTTTTAAAATGTTCACTTTTTCACTTGTAATGGTCAATACAGGTGATGTGATGTTTGTGTACTAGTTTACTGCGATTGTTAAATTTATTATAGTGACATGCTATACTGTAAAGTGACAGTTGATTTGAAATATATTTTTATAATATTTAGTTTTTACGTTTCTTCTAATAATGGATTATATTAATTGACATGGCGAAATAATAATATTATATTGCGAATGCAGCATTTGGGTGTAATACCGCAAAATAATAAAAAAAAATGTACAGTGGTTAAAAATGGAGGCTATTTTGTAATGACGC